GCCAACACATAATCATGATTAAAACAAAACAAAGCAAAACACTGGCGGGGTGGGGGTGGGGGGAACAACCAAACCCCCAAACACTGAACAAGTTAAGAATGGAAGGGGGGGCTGGCATGCGTGCGGCCCGGGTTCGATCCTCGGCACCACATACAAACAAAGATGTTGTGTCCGCCGAGAACTAAAAAATAAATATTAAGAAATTCTCTCTCTCTCTCTCTCTCTGTCTCTCTCTCTCTCTCTCTCTCTCCCTCTCCCCCACTCTTTCTTTAAAAAAAAAAAAAAAAGAATGGAAGGGAACATCCTCAACTGATCAGGAAATCTATGAAAAACCCAAAGCTTTTATTAAATGGTGGAATGATGAGAAAAAAACAAGGATATCTGCTTCTTTAATTTTGTTCTGAAAAATTTTAATTGGGCAATTAGGCAAAGAATAAGATATAAAAAAACATCCAGAGTTTAAGGAAGGAGACTATCTTGTTCACAGATAACATGATAATGTGTAGAATATTCTTGGAATACACATAAGTATTAAAACTAATAAGTGAGGAGAAAAGATTTCTGAGTACAAAATCAATATGCAATATCAGTTGTATTTTTATATAATAGCAGTGAACAACGTGAAAATGATATTGGTTAGTGTATCATTTATATGATCAACATAAATATATGTGGATAAAAGTTGTTAAGAATTGGACAGTGAAAATTGCAAAACATTGAAAAAACTTAATAACGTAAGTGGAAAGATAGTGTGTTTATGCATTGGAAGACATAGACCCCAACTTGAGCTATAGATTTACCATAGTCCATATCAAAACTTGAACTTCCTTTATGCAGAAATTGATAACTGATCCTCAAATTCATATGGAAAGGAATATGGCAATGCAGGCATAAAATACTTGGAGGATTCGAACTTCTCAATTTGAATTAGGCAAGGCATTCTCCCATATGACACCAAAAGGAAGGACAAGCAACCAAAGGGAAAAAAATGGATGCATTGGACTTAATCAAATAAATTTTTTGTGTCTCAAAGAATACATCAAAAAGGTGAAATTACATCCCACTTCTGATAAAGAACTTGTTTTTTTTAAAGTGAAATTACAGCCCATTTCTGACTAAGAACTGGTATCTAGAATATATATTTAATTTGTACTGCGCAATTATAAGAAACTAATAACCTAATTAAAAATGAGAGAAAGATCTGAGAATACATTACTCAAAAGATAAGCAGATGTCTAATAAATAAACTAAGAGATGATCAACATCATATGTCATCAGGGAAATGCATGTAGATGCAAATAGAACCTGTATTGAGATAACACTTCACATCACTGGGATGGCAAAATAAAAAAGGTAATAACAATTTTTGGTGAGAATGTGGAGAAATTGGAAACCTTATATGTTACTGGTAGAAATGTAAAATGGCACAGCTGTTTTGTAAAATAGCCTGGCAATTCCTCAGAAAGTTAGATTTAAAATTGTATTTGACTCAATGATTTCTTCTCCAAAGTACACACCTCCCAAATGGAAGATGGATGTCCAAACAAAAAGGTGTAGTCACGTGTTCTTTTCAGCATTATTCATAATAGCCAACAGGTGGAAACAGTGCATGTCTATCAACTAATGAATTGCTAAACAAAATGTGGTATATCCATTCAATGGAATGATACTTGTCCATAAAAAGGAATGAAATACTGGTACATGCTGAAAGCGGTATGCTTTGTGAAAGAAGTCAAACATAAAAAAGCCATATATTGTATGATTTTATTTGTGAGAATTATCCAGAATAGGCAAATCTGTAGAGAGATTTAGTATTTTCCTAGTGCTGGTGTGGCACTAAGAGATTGAAGGTATGATAAGAGATAATGGGGTATCCTTTTGCAGTCATCAAAGTATTATAAACTTGATTGAGGGTTGATGATTATATAGCTTTGAATTATAGTAAACAATGAATTGTACACTTTAAACTACATATAGATTGTATGATATATGAATATGTTTCAATAAAATTGTTACATACAAACCCACACACAAAAGAATGTTCAGTTGTGTCTTTATTCATGGCAACTCACAAATGTCCATCAGTGGAAGAATGGATAGTCAAATTATGATATATTCCTACTGTGAACATTATTATTAAGGAATACAAGGAAACAGGCTGTTGAAGGAGTCAAAAATATAATGAGAAAAAAGTTAGACATGAGGAAATAAATCATTATATCATTTAGTTAGGCAAATCAGAGTCAGAGACATGGCCTCTAGTCTAACTGATGTGGAGCTGAAATTGAGACTTTGTTTCATGGTTCAGAAACCTCAAAGAACTTGAACTTTTCTGTTACTGAACAAGTAATTTAAAAAGTCTGTCTGTTGGCCTTGCATAGAGAAACAAAAGGAATCTTAGCTGTTACAGCTTATTAGATAAGGTTAAAAAAAAACTTTACTAAATCAATGGCTTACTTCTGCACCATATGTAAGTATGGGGATCTGAATTTGCACTATATATTTGATACATAATCTCAAACTAAGAAATTATCCCAGTTAAGAATTAGTATAAGCAAATTCTAATTAAGCCTCTAGAGTTTATGAGACTTCTTAGAAAATAACCTTTACAAGTTGGGTGCTGTGGTACATGCCTGTAATCCATGCAACTGGAGAGGCTGAGGCAGGAGTACTACAAATTCAACCTTAAGAACTTAGCAAGCCCCTAAACAATGTAGTGAGACCCTGTCTCAAAAGAGAAAATAAAAAGGACTTGGGATGTGGCTCAGTGGTTAAGCACCCTTGAGTTCGGTTCCTGGAACTCCTCCCTCCCCCTAAACAAAAACCTTTCCTGAAAATATACTTATAAACCATCCTAGAACAATCATACCTCCTTAACAAGGAGTTGGTACACACAACAAATAAGAATATATTAAAATATAGAAATAGTATTGTGGTCTGGAAGTATAATGTTTAAAATAAATGGAGGTCATTCAAAACCTAATTTAGGCATGTATTCAGACACAAAACAGTCATAGATAAACATGAACTCATATCCAAATGACACTGCCACACTGTATTCGATCAGATGGGAAATGGGAGTTCTGTGACTATTGAATTATTTTTGGAAACTCTGTACTATAATTTAGTGAGCTCTTAATAGCACACTTTAATGTCATAATCTTCTTGAATTATTTCTGACTAGCAGATTACCAAATTAGTTATGGAAGGGCAAGTTTGGTGATAACATCTTAAAATTACAATTTGGACAGAGTATGAGTGGAGTTTACCAGGTGTTTTTTCCTCAACTCGTCTACCTTAACAAAGTGCAGGCTAGTCTTTGAAAGCATACGTTCTCCAAGCAACCCATTAAGTGGGAATTACTGGTAGCAAAGGGAGTAGAGTATTTTTACTGAGGTTTCTTTTGGTTATGAAATGATGGTAAACTTGGTTGTAACTGTCTCCTTTTGAAACATTGAAAATTTACTGCTGTTGATTCTCACATTGGGCAAATGATATATAATGTTTTATTATTTATTTTTTGTTGTAGATATGAAACATTTGAACATATTTTGTTTTAAAAAAACCTGTTTCTGTGTGTACTATTATCCTGATTTATTATTTGTAATAAATTTAATTCCTTTGCTAAATGTAGATGCCTTTTCTTTGGATTTAGATATCCAATTTAGGGAATTACAGTGAGATTAAAAAATACTCTGCAAACCTCTTTGAATTACTTTTCCTCTGTTTAATCCATTAAATTCAAGCTTTTAATTTTGTGAATATTTCAATGAAATTGACATAGGTATATTTAAAATAGATTATAAATCATAAACCTGAGTTTATTATTTTATATTACACTATAACTATTCTTATAAGATATAAACATGCTGTATTTAAGTTTTTATAGGTGTTCGAAATCTGGGATGATGAGACAAAAGTGGGTTAATCTTTAAAATGATTCTGTCTTGAGAACTATTTGTAGTTATTACTTTGTATCTAATTCCTAATTATACAATAAAGAGCACTAATGGAACTTTTACTTATTTGTGTTATGTAATTTACCCGCTTTTTAAATTATGCACTTTTGCTTTTTAAAGGCAAGGCTATTTAAATTTGAACATTATGCCCTAACACTAGAAGTGATCTTTGAATAAATGGTGAATACTTCTCCCAAAGCCTGGAAACCCTTCTCTTTTAAATCCATTTATTGCTAATATTTACATCACTAGTCCCCCCTTTTATTGTTTGTGTGACTTACTGTTTAAATAGCACTGATTTGAGGTTTTGGTCTTTATTTGAATGTGCTCTTTTCCCTTTCCTTTGGGTTGCTGATTTCTGCCTCACTTTCTTAAGAATTGGTGGTAATCTATAATTTCTCCAGCTTTATATTCAGATTTATAAATTCAAAAATCCTACTGGTTTTCCCTGCTCTGTGGTGCTTTTCTTCACACTTTAAATCACTGTACACTTGTTGGAATTTCTACAAGTGTGGCTAATTGCAGGATTTGTGAAAGAATTGTTTCAATGTTTAGGAAATTGTTCTGGGTGTATTTCTCTTTGTGGGTTTCATCAGTGTTGCCAACTATATGGTAATGATATTTCAGACCCAATAAAAGTGAGTCTATTTAAAAAATGTTTACTAATATACAAATTGTTTTTGATATGTCTCTAGAATTTTAGTTTAGAAATTTTTAGTATGGTATTAACTCACAGTACTTTGAGTAGTTAAAAAAAAAAAAGGACAGTTTGAATACCTGAAAAGAACCCTAATAATAATAGAAAAAAGTTACATAGATGATAAATGATAAAGCAAAATAAAACCTTTATTTTTCTCGATTATTTGTTTGTAATTTCCACAAATTAACTGGAAAAATTCTTTACATTTAGCCTCTATTTTCAATACTTTTTTTTACACTTTTAAAATAGTTGGCAGCATTGTCCTTGATTCTCTATTGGTTTGGGCTTACTTAATTGTCTTTTTCTTTTCTCTGTTTTTTTCCCCCCTTTTGCTTCCTAAGGACATGATGATACAGCGCCATGTGCGGTTTTGAAAAGTATGGATAGTTTTAGCTTTCTTCAACACCCAGTCCACCAGAGGAGCTTAGAGATTCTGCAGAGGTGCAAGGAAGAGAAGTACAGTAAGGCTGCAAATCCTGATTAAACTCTGTGTTGTCACATAGCCATTTGGAAATGGAAACCAAGAGCATTCTACACCAGGTGGAACATAGTTTGCACAGGCAACATGACTTCCATAATCTTTTGAGCAGTCTCAGGATAGTTCCCGAGACTTCATTGTTTTGCTGGAAGTGCTGAGATAACCTGTTCACTTAGTGATTCAAAGTGCCAAGATACCTGTTTTCTTTCTTTCTTTCTTTTTTTTTTTAAGAATTTTAATATTTATTTTCTTAGTTTTTGGCGGACACAACATCTTTGTTTGTGATACCTGTTTTCTTAACTTGGTGATTGTCCTATTTGCCAGTGATTATTGAGTTAATTATACTTGGTCACAGTTACTGAATTGGTTTTCATTTTTGTCTTTCAAGTAGTTGAGTGATGGGTAAAAATAAACAATGCTTTTTTTTTAACCTTCCTTATTTAAAAAAAATAATCCTTATTGGGATATCACTGAAGTAAAATAACCTGCATGAAAGAACACAATTTGGTAAGTCTTAACACATGCAGGCAATCATCAAATTATCACCATAATCTTGATGGCCAACATTTCCAAGTTCCTTAAACTCCTTTCTGAATCTGGCTCATTTTTATGCTTCCTTATGCTTGATTTCCAAGATTAGCAATGCTGGTAAATTTGTTTAGGTCCATTGAGGACCTCCAATCAGACCTTCTTTTATCTGATTTAGAGCAAAGCTACCACACTGATGTTTCAGCATAAGGAAGATTAACAGAACCATGGGATATGTTCTTTTTGTTTGCTTTTTATAAAACTGGTGTAAAAGATGCGCTTTGTCCCCATTTCCTCTTTTGCTTTTTATTTGGTATACTCATTGTGAATGATAATTGGTTATTTTGCTTGTTGTGAGATTATAGTTATTAGTCTGTTGCTATTGTGAGAACAAATGGATCCTTCAGAATATTCAAAACCTACCTCAGTAATTTGTGTATAGTGGACTGAATTTACTTATATAATTGTTTCTGAACTTTTAATAATTTGCTACAGGRTTAGTTTGCTAATTTCAGTTTTCTGATTGAAATTCCCTTGAAATATTAGTATCATCTGGTGTCAGCAAAGGAAGAATATAAGTAGAGCTCCTAAAAGCACATGTTATGAGTACCTTTTTTTCAGTTTCTCTTACATATACTGAATTGGTGTAAGAAAATGTGTAATATATTATTAGAAAGCAATATGAAAAATATTTTCCCATTTTAGAAAGAACAAAGGTAAGTATTTCATTTAAAAAAGATGTGTTTAAAAATTATTCATAATTATTGCTCTTGTTTCTAAAAGGTATACAAATGTTCTCATTCCAGTTTTCTGTCTTGCTGTTCTAAATCTTTTAATACATGGGACATTGTTTAAAACAGTCTACAGATCTTTGTGGTGGAGCTTAGATTAATTCTTTAAGTAGTTTCAAATAATTTATTTGCTATGGTTTTTCATGACTCAGCTTGACAACTGAGGCCTTTCCATATTCTCATTTACTAGAGTATATTCTAATATTCTAATATACTAGGCTAGGAAGGCATCAGCTTCCAGTAGGCTACCTAAAGAAATTATGCATTTGTATGTGTTTACATGCAAATTTATCCACTGTAGTATTAGGCAATAATTGCAATTTTAGTATATAAAATCATAAATTCAAGTTTGGATGATTGCTCTTTAAAAAAAGAGTAGGGGACTACCAGCTTTAAGAAATTGTGAATTGGTAAAGCAAGTGAACCCTCCCACAGGGAACAGTGATAAAACCTGGAAAAAAATTTAACCAACTATTTGAAAAACATCAAAAGGAGGCAGAAAGCAAAGACTTTCTTCTTTAAAGTACATAAAACAATAGATAAAAATTGTCAATCTGTAGCTTTTTGCACAAAGGGTTCCCTAACTCTCACAGCTCTTGAAACAGGGGACCACAACTATATTGGTTTGAGATGAAGACTATCAGCTGGAAATTTAGGAGGACAGTAGATTATAACTATTCCCACAGTAGATTATAACTCTTTTAACATCTCAGGAGTAGAAAGCATCTTGTTCATTTTATAAATGATATGTATGAAAATCTTGTAGAAAACTTTTCCCCTAATTTTAAGAGTATAGCCAGGGACATCTACTTTTGCTACTTAGAACATTCTATTGAAGGTCATCAGCAGAGCAATAAGGCAACAAAAAGAAATAAAAGGTATAGAAGTTAAAAGAGAGGGAGTGGACAATATGAGCATTAATATAGAAAATCAAGAAGTCTAAAAATGGTCTTAGAATTAAAAAAGATGCCAGGTAAATAGTAAGGCAAATTAAATTGTAATATTATAGCTGTGCACACTAGGAAAATGGTACTTATAAATTCCATTTGCCATGTATCTCAGCCAACTTCTAGATATAACAACTAGATATACTTCTAGATATAGTTCCTTTCCCATTTTACAAGAGTTGTGTCACAGAAAGCACAAGGCAAAAGTGATAATATGTCACAAGGTTAAATCATAAGACTTACCCATCTTGGGTACTTCTTTACTTGCTTTCACATTGGTGTCTCAGAGAAGTTGCCATTTGTGACCTGTCCTATTGAGAGTCCCAGTGAAGCCTCAACCAACAGGTAGTAAGAATATGAAGCTTGTTATTAACTATGCAAATGACTTTAGAAGCAGATTCTTTAGCCTCATTTCAATCTTCAGATGACTACAGCCTTGCTTCACAGCTTGAATACAAGTTCATAATTAGATCTTGAGAACCACTCAGCTAAGCAACTCCTCCTGAATTGTTACTTCTTTAGAAACTCTGAGATAATAGCTGTTGTTTTAAATTGTTGGGGTTTGCAGTAATTAATATGCAGTGGATAACTAATACAACATACACAAACATGAGGTAATTATCGATAAATTTAACAAATATGTGTAAGTCTTAAATATATTTTAAATATATTTGTAGTTTTATATTATGAGATACCATTTTTTTCTCATATAATGTATAAATTAAATATAATCCCAGTGAATATCACAGCAAGTGTTTGGTAGAAATTCATAAGCTGAATTGTAGACCACTTGGAATGACCAGAATAATTCCAAAGAGGTAGTCTGTAGAACTTAACACTATATAATTTCAAGACTAAAATGGTTATTATATTGTTCTCTTGGTGTAAGGATCAGGTGATCAGTGAATAAAATAGAGTACAGAAATGGATCAACACATATGGTCACATTTCCACAAAGGTGCTGAGATAATTCAGTGGGATAAAGGATAGTCTTTCAAACAAATGGTAATGAAAAACTATATCCATATGTTATAAGAGAACTTTGACTTTTACTGTCTAACACACATAAAAATTAAATGGCTTAGAAAGTTCTTTATAAGACCAAAACTTTTAAATTTGTAGAAGAAAACCTGAGAGGAAATCTTTGTAGTCTTGGGACAGGCAAGGATTTCTTGGATTGGGCATACAAACATGAACTGTAGAAGGTAAATGTTACTAAATCAGAGCTCACTGAATTGAAAACTTCTGCTTTCCAAGTAATGGTAAGAGGGGGGTGAATGTCACACCACAGCCTGAGAAATGATATTTGTAATAGTTTGTAGTTCTGATATCTGATAATAGACTTGCAAAAAACCTCTTTCAATAATAAAAAATAAATTTAAAATGGTCATAAGATTTGAACATAAAAGAAGATATATATGTGGTATATAGGTTTGTGAAAGATGTCCAACTTAGTCTTCAGGGATTTTCAAATTATAATCACAATAAAGCTCAGTTATTTACCTGAGAAAAATTAAAACATGTTTATAAAAACTTTCATAGATGCATCTTTAAAATGATGTTCTGCTTACACAGAAGATGACATACTTTTGTTTTTTTATTCCATTTATATTAAATTCTAGATAGTACAAACTGATCTGTGTGGATGACAGATCAGCTATTGAATTGATGGGGTTAGGGATCGGGCATGTGAAGGATTGTCCAAGAAAGGGCATTAGGAATCTCTTAGGGGTTGATGGAGATRTTCTGCATCTTCTGTTGTTGGTGGTTATGTGGTGAATGCATTTGTCAAAACTTATACAATTGTATAAATAAAATGAATATATTTTACTGTATTAAAGGCTTTACCTCAGTAGAAAAGCATTTAATTGTATGCCATGAACCCTGATATAAATTGGAGAATTTTTTTATGAAAGTAAGAATGTGCAATTTATATAAAAGGTAGAAGATCAGAATTTGTTTCAAATTGGTAGATAGAAACAAGTTTAGGAAATGCTGATGTATATTTTGGTGAAAACTCCAGGGAAGGCAGGAAATTATATTTCGCTTAAATTAGTAAATGATGGATATTTATCGAGTTTAGGAAATTACAATAAACCAAATGTATGCTTTAAAGACAACAATGATAATAGCAAAAATAAGAATTTATATTCTTTAACATAAGAAATCTCTCAAAAGAAAATCAAGATGGGGAAAATGAGTGAAATAAATGGAAGACATGAAGTAAAATGCTAGAAACAAATACTGTTATTCAAATGCTATATTTTTTTTTTTTAATGAAGTACARGGAATTGAACCCAGGGCCTTGCAAATGCTAGGTAAGCACTTTAACTACTGAGCTATATACCCCTATTCCTTGTTACTCAAAATTAACAGAAATGACAAATTCACTAGTTAAACTCCCGAGATGAATTTTTCAGTAGGTTAAATTTTATTTACATGATATAAAGTATTTTCAGTGATGATGTTTAAAGATACTTAAATATGATTACATGACCTGTGTAACTCTGTCATGTACAACCAGATAAATGAGAAGTTATACTCCATTTATGTATGATGTGTCAAAATGCATTCTTCTGTCATGTATTACTAATTAGAAACAATAAAAAATAAAGATATGATATGTAACATGAAAATGAAAGTATGGACAAAGAGATAACAGACAGATATGAACTATAGCAATAAATGAGGCTAGATAATAATCGGAACAAATCTTC